CGGGGGGGTTGGGCTGGGTGACCTCTGGGGGTCCCTTCCCACCCAAAACATTCTATGATTCCATGAAAATCCCAGGAGTTCTGCCAGCTCCACCCACGCCATCATTTCACCTCTCACAGAGGCAGGAGTAGGGACCAGGAGCCCTGGTGCTCATCACTGACTCTCCAACAATTTCTCCCCACTCTTCCTCGCAGGCAGCATTCACCAGGCTCCAGAACAACCCCTCTCCCCCCACCTCCCGACGGGCACAGCTCACTGGGACTGGCTCTGCCGCACCCCCCTGGCCCGGTCTCATGGGGGGGGGGGTGTTTGTGTGCGGGGGGGAGGCAGCAGCAGGCAGGGACTGCTCTCCACAGCCGCTCCCAGCACCCCAGTGGGATGCTGGTGTGGGCAGAGATGGCATCGAGCGTCTCTGCCAATGCGAGCTACACCCACGCAGCGGGGACTCCAGAGGGGAAGCTGCTCGGGGGTGTGGGGTGTGGGGTGTGTGTCACTTGCCTACGTCACTTGTCCCAAGGTCAGTGGATGCTGACTTGAGGGCCTGTCTCTTGCTCCGGTTTCCGTGTTTCATTCCAGTCTGCCCCTTAAAGAATAAAAACAGTGGGGTGTCACCTGAGGAGCCACCGTGGCCTCACAGTGCCCACAGAGCATCCCGGGAGTGGGGGGGACGACCACACTTGACTAGGCCATGGCTGTGAAGGGGAGCGAAGACACCTGGATGAACCTGGCACCCCCTGGCACCTTTAAGATGACACCACGCATGGGTTAGATGAGCTCAAAGCACAGCCATAGTTCCAGGACACTCGAAGGACTTGGAGCTGACGCTGTTTCTGGGCAAAGATGGGAGCAGGATGAAATTTCAGCCTCGTGCCAGGCTCTAGGGAAACCCATTTACAATGGCAGCTCTGCTGGATGGGTGGCCAGAGCCACCCATGGGTGGCCCCCCCTGCAGGGGGTAGGCAGCCTGCGACCTGCTCGGGGGGTGTCCCAGCACCGGGCAGGGTGTGCGACTCCCTCCGTCACTGCTGGGCCCTGCCCGGGGAGGGGGGGGACACACTAGTCTTGCTCTGCTCCCAGGACAGTGAAAGGGCGTGTGGGTGGGAGGGTGGGGGTTTGGGCCCAATTTTACCTGGTGTGCATTGTAGTTGGGCTGGTTGTGGAGCAGCGGTGGGGGACAGATAGACAGGTTATACTGCAGCGGCTGGCCCAGCAACGAATAGCGCCCAACCCCCGCAAAAAAAAGGAAGCAGATGTTTGTAGGGATCTGAAGAAATCTCTGGAAAGACTCAGCCCTGTGCTGTGCCCACTCCTTCCCCTTACCTTGTGCTGGGCCCATGGGCCGCGGGAACTGTGTGAGGACAGGGAGGGGGCTCAGCCCCGTGCAGACGCTGTTGAGGTTGGTGACAGGAGACGGCGTCGGGGACTGGGTGGGGGACGTGATGGGGCTGTTCAGCTGGGTGCTGGCCTGGGGGAGGGAGAGCGTTAGACAGCCCCAGCGCTGCTGACTGGTCCCACGCCTGTCTCACCACCATGGGACAAGCCCACCCCCATCTCCCAGCCCCTCCAGACAGCACAGATGCTGCGGTCCTCTCTCTCCCACCAGGGTGCTCCCAAAAGGTGAGCTGCCTGCTTCCCAGTCCTCTCAATACCTGAGCACTGGTGTCTGGGTTGTACAGGTCTCCTGGCTTCTGCCCCCGCTGGTCCAGGCTGTAGTACTTACAGTGGCTCCACTGCACCACAGGGGGATTCTGGGGGGCCTGGGGGCCATTGGGTACATTCAGCTGCATCACCACCACGCCAGGACCTGACGGCGTCACCCCTGGGGAGAGACGACAGCAGCAGTATTTATTGCCCAGGCTCTGCGTGCTGCTGCTTGCTGAGGGACAGGAGGCAGCTTCCCTGTCCGTGCGACTTCACACCCTTCCCTACAACATCCACTCCACACCATCTCCTTTGCCACCCCTGCCCGCCCGGCTGGGCTGAAAAAAGGCCCCCCCAAGACCTGGCCGGGATCCCTCTCTGATATCACAGCTTACATCAGAGAGTGATCACTTTTAATGCAGGGGAAATGCAAGCAGAGGGGACAAGTTGAAGGCAACTCGGGTGACCTCTCTGAGCATCACAGCAGAACGCCAGGCAAAGGACAGAGCTGGGCACGGAGCTTAAGTATCCCAGTTCCAGCTCCTGCTCCATTCACCAGCCCTAGCTCGCTTGGGATGGGATGGGATGGGATGGGATGGGATGGGATGGGATGGGATGGGATGGGATGGAGGAATCTGGTGCTCCTCTCATCCAGCACTCCCTGGTCCCACCAGCTGCCCTGGTGGCACTAAGCCGCGTTGCCAGCAGAGGGAACCCACAGCCCACAGCAGCTCCCTCTGCCAGTTCCTACTCTGCCCGCCCACCATATTCAACTGAAACCTCTTATGTTTCAGTTTGTGCCCATTGCCCCTTGTCCTGGCGCTGGGCACCACTGGGAAGAGTCTGGCTCCCTCCTCGTGACCCCCACCCTTGAGATATTTGCACGTGGTGATGAGATCCCCTCTCAGCCTGCTCTTCTCCAGGCTGAACAAGCCCAGCTCCCTCAGCCTTTCCTCCTAGGGGAGATGCTCCAGTCCCCCCATCATCCTTGTTGCCCTCCCCTGGACTCTCTCCAGGAGTTCCTCATCTTTCTTGAACCAGGGAGCCCAGAACTGGACCCAGTGCCCCAGGTGGGGTCTCACTGGGGCAGAGCAGAGGGGGAGGAGAACCTCCCTCGCCCTGCTGGCCACCATGGCCAGCATCAGCCTGGCACCAAGTCGCTGTGCCACATCCTGGCAATTCCCAGTGGGCCATGGGATGGGTAAGACCAAGGAAAGCCATTGCACAGAAGCTGTCAGACTGGGCTGTGAACCAGCAGCGCTGCTCACTGTAGCCCCTACCAAACGTGAGCCAACCCGTGCGGAATCAGCGCCCACCCTGACCGGTGGCCCCTCTTACCTGAATACTGCTGCTGCATCTGCGGCGGGCTGCAGGGCGATGGGGACTGCGGCATCTGATACTGTTCAGAGCCAGGTGGCTGAAGGAACCCCACCGAAGGGCTGTGAAGCAGAGAGGGCTCTGGTGAGGGGATGGCGATGGGGAGAAACAGCCCACCCATCTGGGCAGGCAACCCCCAGCTCGCAGCGCCTGAGATGCCTGGAAGCACAGCAGCCTCTGGAGGAGCGCCGTACGCTGCAGGACGGCTGGGGCCGGGAAGCGTTGGCTGTGGGAGCCAAGGACTGGGCAAGCTCAAGAGATGAGCAGCATCTGTGGTGCCCAGCCACCTCCTTGAGCTGCGGAACCGGGATGCTAGGCCCAGTATGGCAGCAGGACCCCTTTTCTCCCCAAGGCTTGGGGGTTGGACTAGATGACCTCAAGGGGTCCCTTCCAACCCAAAACATTCTATGATTCTAAGGCAGGCCAGAGATACAGAAGCTTTACCTGGTGCCGTTCTGCTGGGCGGTTGGGATGACGCTGTAGTAGATGGGTACCCCTCCAGCCTGAAGCCCTCCCTGAACAGACTGGCTGGCTGGTACAAGCACTGGCTGCTGGAAGGGCTGCTGGACCACACTCTGGGACTCGTTGGCCACGGGAACCTGCACAGGGAGGAAAGAAGCAGCCCTATGGAATGACAGGTAACAGAGAGCAGGAGCAGGGAGAACTGGCCCCAAAGAGACACCAGCGAGGTCCATACAAGGTAGAAGAGATGCCAGATGGTTGTCTACTGCAGCCCAGAGCCATCTTGCCCGGGCAAGGGCAGCCCTTCCCAGCTCTGCTGCGAACACAGTGGCGAAGGGACCAGCTGCACTCAAGACATGCCCCGCACAGATCCAAATGTGGATGTGCCCTTGCCAAGCATGCACTATCTTCTCGAGGTGAGTAAGTCTCCATCCTTGGCTCCATCACTTGGCCGCATGACCAGGCCACCTCCTGAAAGGCCCCCTGCCCAGCAGCCCCTCATCAGAGAGCAACTGATGCCTACCTGGTACGAAGGCAGTGGGGTGTACTGGACCATCAGGCCTTGCATCTGGCTCCCCATCCCGCTCCTCTGGCTGCTGAGAAGGCCAGGGGGCTGCGCCTGCTGCACTCCCATCACGCTCTGCATCTGGCCCCCCATGCTGTTCCTCTGGCTGTTGAGGAGCCCGGGGGGCTGTGCCTGCTGCACCCCCATTACACCTTGGTATGTTTGCTGCTGGTTGGACATCATTGGCTGTAAACCTGTCAGAACAGGGTTTAAATGGAGCGGCTTCCCAGCTGGCCACCGGAGACAGCCTGACACTTGGCATATGAGGGCTCAAATCCTGCTTTGCCCCCATCTCTTGCTAAAGAGTGGGAAAAGGGCTTCCCTTAGGGCAGATGTAAAAAAAGACCTGAAGGAAGCTCCTGGCTTTAAATCCACCCTGCAGCACCTCAGTGAGAGGGAGGGAAAAGACTAAAGCAGCCTTTGGAGCCAGGCCAAGCTTCAGCTTCCTTTGGCACAGTCAAGGGGCACCCTACGGTCAGCAAGTCCAGCAAAGAGCGGGACACAGGCGAGAGCAGCCTGGCCCCCAACAGTGCATGGAGATCCCTACGAGCCAACAAGAATGGCAAAAAAGGGAAATGTGCCCCCTCCCCCCTTCTACGCCCCCTTACCAGGCTGCTGGGACTGCTGGGGGAGCTGCTGGGTGCGCTGGGAGCTGTAGGCCACTGGGTGACTGAGAGATCGGTATTGCTGGCTGGAGTTCGGGTACTGCCCAGGAGGGTAGTAAGAAACCTGAATCTGTGAGAATCAAGAAAACGTGGTGATGAGCACACAAGAGGGAGTGGGACCAAGAAAGCTGGTCCCCCAGGACCAGTTTTCTCTCTCACCTGGCCTGGCTTCTGCCGAAGGAAAGCAACTAGGGCTTTGGCTCTGGCCAGATGATAGCTCCTCAGGGAACCGCAGCCCCTGCCCGCTCCTCCCAGCCTCCACAGCCAAGCCTTTCCCAGCACAGTAGTGCAAGACCACAGTAGGCACAATTCTCCTCACAGCTCAGGGGAACAATCCTAGAGGTCATAATGCCCTGCAGGACCCCAAAGAGAGCTTAAGAGTTGTCAGCCCTGAATCGGGTCGCTGTCCCTCCCCCAACACTATGGGCCAGGAATGGCCAGAGGGGTCCCCAGGTATGGGCCTTGTCAGCTCAGAGGGACAAGGGAGCAGAGACCATCCTGTGCCTAGCAAGGGTGCGTGCCGACCCGGAGCGTGGACCCCTGCGTATTGACCCATCACGAGTGAGCAGGAGAAAAAGAGGGGCCCCGCTCCCCAGGAACGGCTCTGCGGAATGCTCCCCAGCAGCCCCTGGCCTGACAGCTTTGGGGAGAGGTGCACGTCCCCCCCAGGCTTGCGCATGTCCTTACTTGCTGGGGAGGCTGAATGTAGCCCTGGGGCTGCAGCACCTGCTGAGTGGGGGCCGTGTGCCCCGAGGCGGAGTAGCTGGAGGTGGGAATGGGCTGCCCAGGGGTTGCCATGATGAATCCCGTCTGCTGGGGATGCTGGGAGATTAGGGATGACTGGAACATAGCCGAGGAAGGATCCGGTGCTTCTGTTGAGCCCTGGCGGCTGAGGCTGATCTGCCCAAAGGGGTTGCTGAGTTCGTCGGCCTGCATTGGGGATAAGTGGGAAGGATGGAGGAGGACAGCATGTAGGACAACGGCAGGTAGGACGTGGTTCTGCTGACTAGGCTGCAGACCCATTCTCCCTGCTCTGTGCGGAGGAGCTCGCCCAAGAAAGGTCCCCAGAAACGAGCCACAGACCAAGAGCATTCTGCAGGACAGGGGGTAGGGGCATGCAAACTGCTGGGGGGGCCCGAATGCTCAGCACGCACATGCGGGGCCCTGCACAGGCAGGGGTGGCCCCAGCCCAGAGGCCACGTCCCATGGGGCGTGCTGTTCCCGAAAGACCCGTCAGAGACAACACGGGGGCTGATTGAGACCCACAGGGCAGCCGTGGCCCCTGGAGCCCAGCGCTGGGCACAAGCGCCACGCCAGCGCAGCTCTGGGCTCGGCCCTTGCTCTTCCCCAGGCTCTTTCCAAGCTCAGCTCTTCCAGCAGCGCCTGGCCCTGGTGGGTCCCACAGCCTCAGGCACCCCACTGCCTTGACCCCACTGGAGCGCAGAGCCTCCGTGACTCCCGAACCCACGGGTTGCAGTGTCCGTGACATCCCTGATTAGCGAAAGCTCATACAACACAGACACAGCACATGAGCACAACAGAGACAGTGCAGAAGAGGAAATGGGGTTTATACCAAGTTGTACTGCTGGGGTGGAGAGACTGGCAAGAGGACTTGGGGGCAGGAGCTTGGAGAATACTGAACAGGCTGCAGCGCTGGGACCGGCTAAGACCAGCAGAGAAGGGAGTGGAGGGGAGAGATTTGGGTGGGAAAAGGGCAGGAGGGGGGAGGGCGGGGGCGAGGGAGAGGAGAAAGGAGAGAAAGAAGGAACAACAAGGTTAGTCAACCGAGCCGACTGCAAACACACAGAGGGGGACATCGCAGAAGGGTTGGAAAGCACGGAGGCCAGAAGGGGGGAGCGTTCATTTCTCTGGGAAGACAAGAGCCCGGCCAGTTGCTTTGTGGAAGCTGGGAAGGCCCCATGTCTGCAAAGCCGCTCTCGCCCGGCACCAACAGTGACCCAAGTTCGCAAGGGCCAGCTATGGCCAACAGCCACAGCAGAGCCACCTCGCCCCAGCCCAACCTTTGTGTCTCCCCCACTCCACTGCCCACTCATGCGTGGCACGGGCTCCCAGCTCTCTCTGTAGGGCTTCCCAGCCTCTCCTGCTGGCAACGCCTTCTCTGACTCTTGCCTTCCGTAGGGGCCCCTCTCACTCTGTCCCTGGGAGGACCCGATGACACCCATTTATGACAACACCTGACTCAAGCACCACCTACATCTCCCTGCTCCCTGCAGGGGCGTTGGATGAGATGACCTCTAGGGGTCCCTTCCAACCCAAAACATTCTATGATTCTATGATACTGTGCTCTGGGCACCAAACCTGTGATGGTCAGCGCTGGGCTGGTTTTTTTGATAATTTGATTTGACCTTTGGTGAAGCAGAAGGCGCATGCGCGTGGGGAACCGCGCATTTTCAGACCTTTCACCAAGAGTCCGTATGAAAAAAGTTCTTCCAGGACCTGAACCATTCAGTAGAAGACACAAAATGAAAGCCCAGCAGGACACAGCCATCCCACACAAGCTCCAGGAGCCTGCTGTGTGTTCAAACCTCCCACCCGGGGCACTGTGCTCCGTCCCACGCCGTGCTGTGGCTCCAGACACTCCTGCTCGCCCCAGCACTCGCCCCTGGCTGACTCAGGGAGACACCTCGGCTGTAGACCTGAGATGTTTCACTTGAGTCTCAGCATCCTCTGCGAGCAGATCCACAACCCTGGAGCCAGGCCAGGGCCCATGAACTACACACTCTCCCCATCCTCACGCAGATGGCAACGAGCTGTTCACGTTATCTGCGGTAAAAGCCATTCGAAGAGACTTCTTTCCTCCTCCTTACAATCCTTACAATCATAGAACAGGTTGGAAGGGACCTCAGAAGATCATCTGGTCCAACCTTCCATGGGAAAGGGAGCCTAGATAAGATTACCTAGCACTCTCCCCGTCCAGTTGCATCTCAAAAACCTCCAGTGTAACTCCAGTATAACTTGCAGCTCTTTGCTGTAGTAGACATGGTAAGTGTTAAGATGATGCACCAGAAAAGTTCCCTATAAAATTGACAGGCAGGCTGACACGCTGCGCTGGTAGGGCAGGATGGGAAGGTACTGAGGATACGTCCCACACACCCCACCCAGCTCTGCACCCGCTGAACACGAGGCAGCTTTGCTCTCCAAACGTGCCCACCAGGGCTGACTCCCACCCCTTCCCCAGTCCTGCAGGGATACAGGGGCAGCTCTTGTGCAGACCAAAGTACGTAGGAACGACAGCCACAGGGACTTTCCAGAAGGCTCCATCCTCAGAAATAGCCCTGCAGTCTGCGGAACGTCACTTGGGTGTAGCTCGGGGCAGGTCTGGAGAATACACCCAGGCACAGTTCCAGGTCTGCCTCTCCCCAGGACATCGGGTGAGCAGCCCCAGGATTTCAGCACTGGGGACCTCAAACACAACCGCCGTTTGTGACAGTCCCTCGCCAGGAGGGCAACCAGTTCCAGAACACAACCTTGCCACTCAGCCAAGGCTACAGACCCCTTGCCAGGGGGCCTGAACAGAGAGAGAAGAGGCTGACAAGTCGAGATGTCGCACAGCGAGGCCCCTGACCGCCTTCTGCTCTCTGGCAAGAGCACAGAGGGACGGTCACTCCCCGACAGGCAGCAAGCGTGAGGACACTCGAACCCCATCCCGGACAAGTGGGAGTCCAGGGCACCCCGGGTGTACCCTGGCTCTGCTACTAGCCCCAACCTGTGTGCCCAGGGAGTTTGCTGAGCCCTGGGTAACGTGCAGCATCTCACCTGGGATATCATGTGGTTACTCATGGCTGGCTGCTGCTGGGCTGCGGGTGGAAGTCCCTGGGGCTGCGGTGGTGGCTGTTGGGGCGGCTGCGGTTGAGGCTGCTGGGCTGTGCAGGGGAGGAGGCCAGGGCTGGACTGGCTGCATGCTTCAGGGGCCCCTAGTACCAAACCTTGAACAGAGAAAGGCATGGCAGAGTTGGTACCTGTGAGAGAAAAACATTGATTTGCTGATGGGGGGGGGGTAGATCCCGTCAATCCCTCCTGCGCTGCAGCCTCATCGCATTCTCTGGTGCCCACGTGGGAGCCCCCCTTCGGGACAGGGTGAGCTGGCTGTCACCAGGTGGCTTCACAGCAAACCCCGGCGTTGGCACCCTCGGGGCTCCAAGTGACTGCGCCTCTCTGCTCCCCATGCCCGCACACCGATCCCCCACAGCACCTTGCTCTCCCCCTGCCCCGTCCATGCCCTGCCCTGCACAGGGAAGACCAGGATGCAATAATTCTTGTTCCGGACTATGGCCATGAGTTGTACAGCTCTTATTCCCAAGAGCCTGCTCTCTCCCCAGCTCCCAGCCTAGCACCCTCTCTTCTCCAAGCAGACAGCCTAGGCAGCGGTTCCTACCCCCAGCTCTCCGATAGTTGCTCTTTGTGCAAACCTTCATCGCTACTCGGAACTGCGGGAAACCAAAAGGCCAACGCCAGGCTTGGGTGATGCCTCCAGCCGGCCTCTGCTCGCAGGATGGAGCGTGCTTGGTGCGGGTGCTGGCAGGGTTGGCACAGGGTGGTAAAACCACATCTGTGGTGCAACTCGTCCTTCGGAGGGATGTGCCCTCCGTCTTGTCGGGAAAGCATCGGGCCCAAGTCAGGGCTTTCTGTAAATGCCACGGGCCTTCTGCTGGGAAGAGGAATCTGGCTGCCAGCACCAGCACCTGCGCGGCGGAGGGGTCCCCACACCAGCACGCGGCAGAGGTTACCAAGAGGGGGAGCTGCCAGATGCACCCACGTCAGCTCAGTGCCATAAACCAGCCTGGTTAATGGGAGGAAACTGGAGAGCTCTTCCCAGTCACGGCTCAGTTCTGCAGCGCGGCGTAGCCCCCGCTGGGACGCTGACGTGTCGCCGTGACCTGTCCGAGTGCTTGCCCAGAAGAGAGAGGGCGTGGGGAAATCCCATTTCATGGCCATAGCGGCCCAGCACACCACATCTAGGGGGTGACACGCTGAAAGCAATTCCTTCCCGTGGTGGGAAGGAGCGCGATACACGCTGCAGGGCACCCAGTCTTACTGCCAGAAATAAAAGGGCTTTGAAACTATTGCTTGATGCCCAGTAGTTGCTATTTAACTAATTCTGCCTCTGGTCTACTGCATTTCGACAGGTAATCATCAGCCATCCCGCTAAGGCGGTCTCTGTCATCAGCCACGTGGTGCAAAGAAGGAAATATTTTGCTGAGATGGGAGAAGAGCCCTGGATTCCTAGGCGCTTCCTCCCCCACAGGGTAAAGAGGATATGGAGGGTGGTGGGGTTTTTTCCCCCCCCCCCGCAAGTGAAAATTCCTTTGCTTTCCCTGCCCTGCCCCGTTTCTAATCCCTCACCATTATATAAAGCCTGGAGAGCAATTATTTTCTGTTCCCAGGGAAAGCCTGGAGGAAAAGAGCAAAAAAAAAAGAGATCCTCTCTTGCTCTGCTTTGCACAGGGCTGGGACAGATCTTCAAATCACTGCTCCCATCAGCCGATGAATCAGTCCTGGAGGTGGCTGCAATAGTCAGAGCAATGGAAACAGGGTCCCAAGAGATGATGCAGGCACCTTCGAACCGTGAGGCGAGCGTGTGGCTTTCAAAGCCAGGCTGGGTGCTAGAACAGGAGCCTGGCCGCCTTTTAGAGCCACCCCTTTTATCTGAAAGGGTTCTTGTGGAGCAGTCTAATCCCCCACCAGCACCAACCTGCTTCCCCTCCCCAGCAAAATGACAGCTCTCAAGCATCTGGGGACCTGCTGCCCACCGCTGGGAACGGAGGAAGCGAGACAGCGAGACACCGCTGGATTTTGCTCACTGGTATCGCAGAGCAACTGTACCCAGGTACCATATGGCTTCTTGGTTATCACCCGACCATTAAAATGAGAGTTAAGGCCTGTGCTGCGTGAAAGGGGGTTGGGGGGGGGGGGTGTTTTTTCCCCCCCCCCCCGCAAGTGAAAATTCCTTTGCTTTCCCTGCCCTGCCCCGTTTCTAATCCCTCACCATTATATAAAGCCTGGAGAGCAATTATTTTCTGTTCCCAGGGAAAGCCTGGAGGAAAAGAGCAAAAAAAAAAGAGATCCTCTCTTGCTCTGCTTTGCACAGGGCTGGGACAGATCTTCAAATCACTGCTCCCATCAGCCGATGAATCAGTCCTGGAGGTGGCTGCAATAGTCAGAGCAATGGAAACAGGGTCCCAAGAGATGATGCAGGCACCTTCGAACCGTGAGGCGAGCGTGTGGCTTTCAAAGCCAGGCTGGGTGCTAGAACAGGAGCCTGGCCGCCTTTTAGAGCCACCCCTTTTATCTGAAAGGGTTCTTGTGGAGCAGTCTAATCCCCCACCAGCACCAACCTGCTTCCCCTCCCCAGCAAAATGACAGCTCTCAAGCATCTGGGGACCTGCTGCCCACCGCTGGGAACGGAGGAAGCGAGACAGCGAGACACCGCTGGATTTTGCTCACTGGTATCGCAGAGCAACTGTACCCAGGTACCATATGGCTTCTTGGTTATCACCCGACCATTAAAATGAGAGTTAAGGCCTGTGCTGCCCCTTCCACAAGCAGTCAGTTGAAAATAAAGGACCCTGCTCCCCACTGGTGGAAGGGCTGGTGTCCCGCCACGCGCAGCACACGTCCGCTCGGGAAGCTCTTGGCAGCAACGCAGGACCAGTGATGGCCCCCAGCAGCATTCTCTGCACGGGGACTAACCCTTGTGTTACCGAGCTGGAAAAGGAAGAACTGATCTGAAGCAGGCAACGAGACGTGATCCTTGTGACAGGCCAAGGGGGGATGGCTTTAAACTGAACCAGGGGAGGTTTAGGCTGGATCTAAGGAAGAAATTCTTTACAATGAGAGTGGTGAAACCCTGGCAGGGGTTGCCCAGAGAGGGGGTGGAGGCCCCATCCCTGGGAACATCCCAGGCCAGGTTGGACGGGGCTGTGAGCAACCTGGTCTGGTTAAAGGTGTCCCTGCTCCTGCGGGGGGGTTGGGCTGGGTGACCTCTGGGGGTCCCTTCCCACCCAAACCATTCCATGATTCTATGAAAACATTCTATGATAAACCCACTGCCCTTTGTGACAGCTGATCCTCCCCCATCCTTACGCCTTTACACCAGTACACTTCTAGGGAACGGCGATGTGTTTACGGTTGCTTTAGGAGTCCTCCCAGTGACCCTTCAGCTCTAAGTGAAACCCAAACAAAAGACAGGAAAGCAGCCTCTGGAGCTGGGAGCCTCAACACAAGGAAGGCTTAGAGGCCAAGTATCCCAATCACCACAAGGGTGAGGAGGTCTGGGCAGGACGCAGCCCTGGCACTGGCCAGGCTTGTCCTTGTCCATGGCACGTAGCGTAGAGGTCTCTGATCTAGCACCACAGTTGGACGGGGCTGTGAGCAACCTGATGTGGTTAAAGGTGTCCCTGTTCCCTGCAGGGGTGTTGGGCTGGGTGACCTCTAGGGGTCCCTTCCAACTGAAAACATTCTATGATTCAATGATTCTACTTCCCTTTAGTGATCCTGAAGCCTTGAGCTGCATTCATCAGCTCCTGAAGAGCTGCAGGCCCAGCTCCCTGCCGTTACGTTGGCTCTCAGGAGCACAGTGAATCATTCATCATAGGCAGATACCAATTAACGCAGCCTTCGTCTGACGAGACAGACTCTGTCTGACGAGATGGACTAACTGGTGCTGCCCTTCCCTGGAAAGTGAGGAGAAGCATCAGATGGTTCACCCCAAGTCTCCTTAGGGCTGTGAGGGATTCTGGGGAGCAGAAAGGAACGGCAACCCAAGGTGCAGCACAGCAGGGGAGAGAACACAACAGAAAACTGATAGCCTGAGTTCCAGGGTATGAGACTAAACAACATCCTTTGTCTTGGATAACTCCGCTGAAGGGAAGGAAGATCTGACGGTGAGTACTGAAAAAGCAGATGATGAACCCACCGGCCTATCCCTGCCCAGGCACTGACCACGTTCAGAAGATGCCCCCACCATGTCCCATTTTAACCAGAGTCCCTGACCACCACGAGCCCCAGTCCCCCAGCCTGAAGAGTGCTAGGTGCCCGTTGGTGTGTGGGGGAAACCGTACAGTACCTGCCCGGGACGTTCTGCCGGCAGTGCTGCCTTTGCTACTCCCGATGCTGTCCCCTCGCGTCAGGATGGAGATGCCACTGAAGCTGCTGGCTTTGGTAACAGGCGGTCGCAGGCTGCGGATGGAGCCATCGGAGTCTGTGCTGCTCCACGGCCGAGGCTCCAGTGACTTTATCTCACTCTCCGTGCTGCTCTGGCGGCTGCCTGAGGCCCGGTTCAAACTGTCCCGGTTGCCCCTGCAGAGACCAGAGGAGTTAGGACGCACCCCCAGGGAACGCGGCAGCCGCGGGACCTGCAGGTGCTGCATCAGCAACGCCACAGCGGGGCGGCGAGCCCGGTCAGCGGCCAGCTCGGTGCCACAGCACGTGGGAGCTTTGTGTAGGATCTGACAGCAAACACCCTGGGTCACAACTTCCTTGGGCATGCACGGCCAAGACCCAGACGCCGCTGATCTGCCTTGGCCTGTGCCGAGAGCTGGCTCCTGGCCCTTCTCCCTAGCCAGATCCCAGGCTGGAAGAGATGCCAGCAGGGTCAGAGCATGTTGCCTCATCAACACCTACAAATATCTCAAGGGTGGGGGTCACCAGGATGGAGCCAGACTCTTCCCAGTGGTGCCCAGCACCAGGACAAGGGGCCATGGGCACAACCTGAAGCAGAAGAGGTTCCAGTTGAACGGGAGGAAGAACTTCCTGACTTGGAGGGTGCCCGAGCCCTGGCCCAGGCTGCCCAGGGGGGCTGTGGAGTCTCCTTCTCTGGAGATCTTCAACCCCTGCCTGGACGCTGTCCTGTGCCCCCTGCTCTGGGTGAGCCTGCTTGGGCAGGGGGGGGGCACTGGGTGAGCTCTGGAGGGCCCTTCCAACCCGGCCATGCTGGGATTCTGTAAAGCCCTCCTTGTCTCAGAACTTTTAACAGAGGCCTTGAGACAAGGCTGATCGAGACCTTCAAGAGCACCTTACACCCCCGCCCTGGCAAGGTTTTCTGCCCAGCTGGAAGGGCTACGTGCTGGGATAGCGCTGTGCTCGGAGCTGTGATCACCCTCCCTTAGCCCCAGGCCAGGTCTGGCCACAGCAGGACTTCCATCATGGAGCATGCCAGGCAGTCAGCCTGGTCCATCAGCCCAGCTAAGGATCCTAAGCACAGCAAGGGGCTCCTGGGCCTTCACTGGGGAGGAGCGGTGAGGAAGGCAACACTGGAAGGGATGCAGGCTGAGCCCGGCAGCAGCTCCACGCAGTGGTGGAGGGGAAAAGACAGGCATGGAAGGGACTTCGGAGGCGATGTTCTGGGCTGCTGGGAGCATGTGAGACCCAAAGAAAAGGCATCTCTTGGAAAAGCAGTACGACGGTTATGTCCCCAAAGAGGTGAAAGAATTGGACTGTGCAGCCTCAAACCCCAAACTGCAGGTGACCCAACAAGCATTTCTGTCAAGCTCATGGGCTCTCCCCAACCTAAACTCTGAAGGCTGCTCCTGGGGATGTTCAGAGAGGTGGGACAGTATTTGGGGCGGGGGGCGGGGGGTGGAGAGACGTGCCATGGCCTCTGTTCTGACTCAGCTGCAAACTCTGGTTCCCTGAGAACCCAGACCCCCTCTCAAGCCGATTACTGCAAACCCAGCAGCAGAACGGTTCGGCTTTTGCTAGGAATGATCTCCAAGCTCCAGGCACACCACCACTTGCCCTCTGAGAGCACTGCCCTAGCAGCTCCAGCCATACCTTCCCTCTCCGTTAGCCTTGCTACAGCCTGTCCCCAGGCGTGTCCACCAGCAGAGCGCTCTGCAGCCGGGTCTGTGCTTCAGCAGCGTTAATAAACAACTTCCAAGCGAGCGGAACAGCTCTATCCCTCAGACCGCCAGGCTTTGAGAGCAGCAAGTCTCTCCCCCGATCTCCTCAAGAGCTTGCTTGTCTCTGTCCAGAGCTCCAAACGGCCCCAAGGCCCACATATCCTCCCTCTCCCCACTATGGGAACCACAAAACCACAACAGCGGGTTAACCAAGCTCTTCAGGGACTGGTCACAATAGTCAGAAAAGCTCCAGACGCAGCCCCGGATGCAGCTCAGCTCCTACAGCTCCAATCACATCACCAATGGCTTTTTTGCCACTTTCTGTGTGAGTTTTTCTGCAGCCCTGTGGCTGATCTGGAAACCATATCCCTGCCCTGATCACTGCTGCCACAGGCAGGCTCCAGGACACAGTCCCTGTGACTGTGCTGAGGACACGTGGCTTTCCACAAGTGTCCCTCCAAGGACAGCCTGAGCCATGGGACAGACGGAGGAGAGGGGCAAAGCTGTCCCCACACTTGCTTCGACCCTCCTGCCCTGTTCATCCATGGAGATGCTTCATCTCCAGAGCTCTGGCCATCAAACAAGAGGAGAGCAGGCATGAGTCTCTCCGTTTTCATCCTGTTCTTCACCCTCACACCTTCAGCAGCCTCCTGCAGCAGGGGTCTGTGCAAGGTGACTCGTCAGGCTAACTCCATCCTTCCAGCCCTTTCATCCACAGGACAACTATTTAATACGAAAACATTGCTCAGACACGTTCCCAGGGCCCTCTGGAGCATATTCTGGTTGAAACGGAAGCCTGAGACGCTTCATTGCGGCCGTTAAGTGATCCAGCCTTTATAATCAGGGATTAGGGACAACCCCACCTTATCTGGATGCTGATCCTACCACTGTAGGAGCAGGGGCTTTCCTAGTCTATGTGGATGTAGCATACCTGGACTTCAGCAAAGCCTCTGACATCATTTCCCACAGCATTCTGCTGGAGAACCTGGCTGCCCACGGCCTGGACAGGCATGCTCTTTGCTGGGTAAAGAACTGGCTGGATGGCTGGGCTCAAAGGGTGCTGGTGAATGGAGTTAAATGCAGTTGGTGGCCGATCACAAGTGGTGTCCCCCAGGACTCAGTGTTGGGGCCACGCTCTGTTTAGCACCTTTTTCAATGACCTCGACGAGTGGATTGAGTGCACCCTCAGCGAGTTTGGAGATGACACTAAGCTGGGTGGAAGGGTGGATCTGCTGGGGGGGAAGGGGGGCTCTGCAGGGGGACCTAGCCAGGCTGGATCCATGGGCCCAGCCCAGTTGGGTGAGGGTCAACAAGGCCAAGGGCCGGGTCCTGCCCTGGGGTCACCACAACCCCACGCAGCGCTCCAGGCGTGGGGCAGAGGGGCTGGAAAGCTGCCCGGCGGAAAAGG